GGGGGTGGGGGGGGGGGGGGGAGGAGGAGGGGAGTGGCAAGGTCTCCGGTCAAGAATGAGTGGAAATAGACGATAAATTTAAAATGTTACTTATAAAACTTAATTTTTTTTATTTCTTTTAGAAAAGTTTCTCATATTTAAGAAACTTTACAACAAAGTTATTCTCCAAAACATTTTTATAACCCAAACATAAAAAATTGGATCTCTAATGTCAAACACACCTTTTGTGGCTTGTAATCTAAGCGTATTGAAAAGAAAGCTTGCAAGTGGCTCTCACACTCACTTGGGGTCTCTTGGGACTAGCACAGTGGTATTAATGTTGACATCTATAATTTTATTTGCTCCAAATGGTTGAAAATTCGAAAAAGAATTTGAATACGATATAAGTGTTATTTTAGTTATATATAACTGAAAGTGATCGGAAGAAAAATATTTGGACTAAACGGTTGATTTTCTAAAATAGCTTGATCCTGAAAAAGAGGTTGTAATTATCATCGAGGATAAATATATTGTGTCGCGTGACAATAATTCTCTGAAATCAATTGAATTTATCAAAAAAATACTGAGCAAAGTTATTTTCCTGAAGAATTTGGCTAATCCATAACATCAACTACAAAAGAATAAGGTTCAAATTAATGAGTACGAGAAAAATATTATACATCTCCATCATTATTCTCTAAAAATTTGCAAAAATAACATAGTAGATATTTTTCTAACTTATATGGTATTTTTCTTCTTTTTAATATGGTAAGTGAGCATAAGATAACAGAGGATTTATACGTGAAGTTACTAGAACTTAATTGCTTGACACAAATTTTGTATTTATATCAAAAAGGGAAAAAATTATATGCATAAATAATTTGCACATAACTAATTAGTAAAAAAACCAAAAAAAGTTATACTCCATAACATAAAATTCCGAAATTCATCTTTGACATGGGAGATGGTTTCTAGTGTGTATTTCCACTATAATTAAGTAGTAATTTTGAATTGTTAATTTTGATTTGAAATTTTGAATAGACAAAAGATATTGTATATATTTTATTTATCGATTTTTTATATTATTTTCTTTGCTTAAATGATGACTTGATAAAACTAATGAAAATTTATGATTAAAAATTAAAAATATGTTAAATATAACAAAATATTCTTTAATCTTACAATTTCAAACATATTATATAAATATACTCTAATTATGTTCAAATTTAATCCAACTCGTTCCCGTTGTCACCCAATTGTATGTTGAAGTAAATTTGTTGGGTGTTTTTTCAGTTAGAAATAGAAAAATGCCCATCCATAAGTGGTCCGTCTGTTCCCTTCCCATTGGCCCACAAGCTACTGTGTGTCTGCCACTTGATCTCTCTCCATACAGGTGGGTCAACAAAGCCCAAACACCATTTCCCAAGTGTTATGTTGTTGGAACTTCTTCTTCTTCTTATACATAAAAAAAAATATAAAAATTGGTTCTAGTTTGAATTTGAGTCCTTCTAAGTATAGGACTACCTTTGTTAGGAAGTTCTTTACTCCAACATCGAACAAAAAACTAAAAAAAAAAAAAATAGAAAAAGGAATATTTATACCCCAGAAAAGTAAAATATTTACTTTTAAATGCCTCATTATTTTCATACTCCTTTCTTATTTCAAAATGACATATATCTATTTTTATTCGCGTGCTAACGTCAGCGCCCACCCTTTTTTCCTATATGATACTATCATAGTATGTTACTGTATATGAATATACTATGATGGTATCAAAGAGTAACTGAACATTGTTTTCATTGAAGGACTGTTTCTTCGTCCTTGATACCATCAAAGTAGAATATAATCGGGTGGTATCAATGAGTAACTGAACAATGTTTCCATTGAGGTTTGCTACAGTCTTTCGATGAGATTACTCAATCAATACTATTACACTATATATACATATTGTTGTGATATCATTGAGGTATGTTTCAATTCTTCAATATTTAAATTTGAAAATAATTTTAAAAAGAGTAGTAATTTATAAGCAATTTTTTAAAAATTTGCAAAGAGAGAAAAGAAATTATAAATATATATTTTCTACTAATTTAGAGTTTAATAAATAAGATTGTGATTTTAATAATTTTCTCTTAATTGTTTCTTATTTATTTCTAAAAAGGAGTTCAATCCTATATGATATCGATAGTATATCAATATACCAACGGAGTATCATAGAGTATTAAGTTCAGTCCTATATGATACCGATATGGTATCAATATACCGAGGGGTATGACAAAGAATATATTTTCTACTAATTTAGAGTTTAATAAATCAAATCGTGACTTTAATAATTTTCTCTTAATTGTTTCTTATTTATTTCTTGAGAAGAGAGAGTTCAATCCTATATGATTCTGATAGGGTATCAACATATCGATGAAGTATCACAAAGGATTAGCTCAGTCTTATATGATATCGATATGGTATCAATATACCGACAAAGTATCACAGAGGATTAATTCATAGTGGTGATGCTGATGTCATGCTGACATCTTGCATGAAAAAAGAAAGAAGAAAGTGGGGTAAATCGGTAAATAGTTTGGGTCATTGGTCCATTAAAAATAAATAAATAATTTGGGCTTGGTCCAATTTATATAAATAGTTACATAATCAAGTCTTTTGTGTAGTTTTCCCAAAAAAATAATACAAAAATGGGATCTTTAAACATACTCTCTAAGTTGCGTTTTGCTTTCATATATAAAAATATATATTTTTTATTTTACTTATTTATTTTAACAAATTAGAATTTTTTATTACTTTCTTTCCTACTATCCTGAATATTAAATAACTTCGTAAATTATTACATAAACAATGAAGATGTTAATGTCTTCCTATTGCGTTTAGCAAACCAATCAACATAGCCGCTAGTATTAGCCAATTGTTTTGATTAAAAAAAAAAATGTCATAGTCACAATTTGGTGTTTGGTTACAAAAAATAAAGAGCAAACGTCATGATCTCTAATTTATGTTTTAATTTTAAAATAATACTTTTCCCTACAATTTTACCTATCATGTGTGACTTTCTGAGATTTAATTTAATTAATTTTTAAAATTAAATTAATTTAATATTTTAAAATTTTAATTTTAAAAAATACTATAAGTTTATAGTTATTGGAACATTTATAGTTCCTACCAGATTTGTGGAACTTCCCATCTCTTTTTGGACATATAATACATGTATAAAAAAATATGGGACAACTCATGATCCATATGTCCCAATATACATATAACTATAAAATTATATATTGTGGAAAGGACATTGATATCTGTTGGC